AAGTACAGTGTTTCACTCGGCATTCTCTCACGATGGATGAATCAACTGATGTTAGTGACACCTCACAACTTTTAGTTTTTGTTCGTGGAGTTGACAACGAACTGAATGTCACACAAGAATTAGCCTCCGTTAACAGCATGCACAGCACTACAACTGGAGAAGATATCTTCAAAGAAGTACAAAAAACGTTGACAAAGTATAACTTGGACTGGAATCGACCCCAAGGTGTAACAATTGATGGAGGAAGAAACATGTCTGGTGCAAACAACGTTATGGTTGGGCAAATTAGAAAAGCTTGTGAAGATGCAGGAGCATCAGTACCAATTTTTCTGCACTGTATTATCCATCAACAAGCATTATGTGTGAAACATGTCGATATGAGCTGTGTTTTAAAACCAGTTGTTTCTGTCGTAAATTTTATTCGATTACATGCACTCAATCATCGCCAATTTCGATCTTTTCTCGAACAAATTGAATCCGAGACTGTTGACTTGTCGTATTATACTGCAGTTCGATGGCTTAGCTGTGGAAAGGTGCTATTACAGTTCTTTAAGCTTAGAAATGAAATTAATTTATTTCTTGCGGAGAAAAATCACCCTGAACCACTTTTATCATATGCTGAGTGGCTCTGGAAGTTGGCTTTTTTTGCAGATGTTGTGACACATGTAAATAACTTGAACTTAAAGCTCCAAGGTAAAAACAACTTAATTTGTGATTTATTCGCACAAATCAAAGCATTCAGGGCAAAGCTGGTATTGCTCGAAAGTCAGATAGATGAATGTAATTTTACCCATTTCCCGTGCTGTGAAGAATTGTGTGAGATCAACCGGTGGTACAATCCTAAAATGGGTACCACTTACACGGCGACTAGTCGGTGAGACCAGTTCTCTAAAGTTTCAGATCACTAGATCTGATCTTAAAGTTTACATAGGAGGGCTGTAATATTTATTTTTTAATGAGGATTAAAGACTGTGAAGTCTCTATCCAAACGTCAGGGCCTGACATCAGTTAATCGATTATTTTACACGCGGATTAACACGAGTTATCCCTAATCTTGGAGATCGAAGAAACATGGGAACTTAAATATAAATGAATGTTCAACAGAAACAAAGTCATTATATAAACAAGTAAATATTTAATAAATCGAATAACAAAGAATATACAATGATGGATCTAACCTAAATCTAACTTAAACTATCTTATTTCTAACCTAACACGTGAGAGAGTTTACATCGATCTATTCAGAGCTTCTATTACCTTCTGTATTTGTACGAAGATCTACTTCTTTCCTTCTCTATTTCTCTTCTTGTATGTTATACCTCAGTATATCCATGTCGTATGTCGTATGTAGGATTCGTATGTATGACTTCTTAAATATTCTCCCTGGTATAGCAGTTTCCTACTTTATGGACTGCTTCAGAGGTCTTGTATGGAACATATGGCAGGACACTTCTCAATCCGTCTACTCCTCGAATTGGACTGCTGCCTCAAATGGCACGAAAATGGCCCTTTTTATTCTCTCTTACATCCTGTGTGCAACCTTATCAGCTCATCACCAGTTCGCCTGGGAAAGGAAATCAACTTCCTTTCAAAATTCTGCTGTTTCATCCGTTTTTGTAGATAAAATCTTGGTGAAGTTCGAAATATTATTTTATCTAAAGGTTTCAGTTTCCTCTTTAACTGACCATTTTATTCACAAAATTCTTCACCCCTTTTGACCCTCACAACTGAATACAGAAACCGATGAACAATTTCCAACCAGATTTTCAATAAAAGTCATCGCGGATTTAAAACAAGAATTTCAAAAGCGATTTTCTGATCTTGACAGGAATTCAAAGGAAATTTGGCTGTTTCAAAATTCATTTGACTGCAATGTTGCAGACGTTTCAAGTCAGTTTCAAATGGAAATTATTGATCTTCAAGCTAACGATCAAATCAAGGATAAATACAAGGAAGGAAACTTGGTCGATTTTTACAAATTTTTGAATGCAAAAGAATTTCCAAATTTAAAGCAATTTGCTTGTAAATTTATTTCTGTTTGGGACTACCTATATGTGCGAACAAACTTTTTCCAGGATGAAGTATCTGAAATCAAAGTACAGGGCAAATTTATCAGATGATCATTCGCAATCATTGCTTATAATTGGTGTTTCAGATTTTAATCCCAACTTTAATGAAATTCTTCAGCAAAAAACACAGTTTCATCATTCCCATTAAAAGTTGCATGAAATAATTTTCTAATTATGTATAATTTAGCCATGCTGTTTAGTATTGGTGTATCTGTAACTAACTGTAAAAAATAAAATTTAATGCTGCCTTAATCATAATGAGACTTTTTAATTCACATATTTACGTGGCCCGCTGCAAATGTATTTAATTTCCAATCTGGCCCTTGCGTCAAAAAGTTTGGACACCTCTGATGTAGACTCTACTTACATCTGATTAGTTGATGGTATTGTTTTAGAGACATATTCATGTTGAAAGTTGAACACTGCTCAACTCGCTTTACACTCATTTTATGACATGCTTTGGCATAAAATATCATGGCCACATGATTAAAAGTATTTCCAGTGAGGGTTTTTATGCTAGTGGAGTCTCGGCCTAACAGAATTAAACTGAAGGTAGTACACAAGTTCAAATAAAATTCAAGAAACTTTTATGCACTTCAATATTTATGCATTTTATTTAAAAAATGCATTATTTTACAAAATTTTTTACTAAAATACTATAATATTTTACAAAAAAATATTTTAGTATTCAAGTGTTTCTCACATTTTATTATATTTTTGGTAATTTTTAACAACAGTAAAGTTGTTTAAGCACTTCATAACAAATGGACAAATTGTAAAATTGGCAGATAAGTTAACCAGAGACAAAAATGTTTCTTAATCTTATACTGTCCTTCCTTGATATCTCTTCTTCATCATTTTTATATACTGTATCTTCTTCCTTTATTCCTAGGTTTTTCTCATTCTTCCTTTCCCCTTTGCAGTATCTGTTCTATAGCTATTCTCAACAATTTGTATTCTGTAATTCTTCACATATGACCATATCATATTAACTATCTTCTTTTTATTTTATCAGAAATTAATTCCTTTATGTTCATAATTTCTTTAATGTTTTCATTTTTCATTTAATACAAGCCTAATATTCTACATAATCTCATCACTGCCTCCATTTTGACAGCACTTGTCTTCTTTCGGGCACATTAGGAAATTTTAACTGGTAATGCTACAGTAATGGTAACTGATGTCATTGGTCATAACTGGTTATTTTGGGCGATTAGCATATTTTTAAGCACGTTGATTATTTTGTGGCATTCAACATAGTGTAAAGTCAAGAAGAGATGATATTAATATTGTCATTGCTCTCGAATATCAATTCAGAATCATATGACAATGAAGTTTCGACGTGTTCATCAGAAGATGAAAATGAACTTGTAGAATTTTTCTGACAAGTATCAGAGAAAAATTTATCTTTGTTTAGTTCATACAACGAAATCAATAATTTCACAATGTTTGCTGGCCATCGACCATTCTGTCTTGACCCATCTGAAATTTTTGAAACATGGCTCTGATCTAAGGCCCTGTACACACTAGGCGTTTTCAACGCGCGTTAAACGCTCGTCGAACGCCGAGCTAACGCGCGTTTAATGCGCGTTAGCTTGGCATTTGACGAGCGTTTAGCGGAGCGTGCGCACTGGCTCGGTTTGGAAATGGATGTGGAAGTGATTGCTTGTGTGTGGCCCCTCTATCGTCGCTATAAAAGACGACGGCAGAGGCAAAGAGAATTTTGGGTGCACCCAATATTACGAGATAGACTGACGCATGAAATGTTTGCGACGTTGTATCCAAAACTAAGACAAAATAAATTCAAGTTTTTTAATTCTTTTAAAATATCTATAAAATCCTTTGACGATGGTTGGTGTCTTTTAGATATCATCAATAAATAGATCAGTATCGAAATGATCGTTTTCCATTTCAGCACATATATCTCAAAGCGCTCGGCTGACGCCCGCAAAACGCGCGATCGCATGTACGGTAACATGGCAGCACATATATCTCAAAGCGCCCGTAAAGCGCTCACAAAACGCGCGTTTTAACAAAAATCTATAAACGCGCGTTTGGCGTTTGAGTGTGTACGGCTACATAGAACTCTTGGTTCTTTAAAACGCGCATTTAACGCGCGTTGAAAAACGCCTAGTGTGTACAGGGCCTAAGTCATTTTGTGCTGTGGAAACAAAATGTTTTATTTCCTCTAAATTTTTAAAATCACGACAGCATTCGTCACAATGGTTCAATGTGTCTGCCATCTTGTAATCCAATGGAACTGCTGTAACCACTTTGTCACTGTGGTTACTTCGCTAAGTACTGCAAAACAACCGGTGGCATCATAACCGTGATTTTTAATGAGGTTGGTTATTCAGGTTACATTTTCTAAACGCTTTGGTAATTACCAGTAATTACTGGTAACACCGGTTAGAATTTCCAAACGCACCTGATCATCTGCTTTCAATATTCTCTACATCAGCCACTCACAACCATTTTTTGACTGTGGTCCCTTTAAGCTTTTCTCAACTTTTATGGCTCCTTCCACATTTTTTTTTTGTTATTACATTGTTATGCTTTCTTTAAACATATTGAACCAATATATATTTCCCTAAAATATATATCTTTAATCAACACCTATCAAATATAAACATACATACTTTCTGACTTCTTAGTGGTTTATAGATGCAGTTGAAAAAAAGTAAAACTGCAGCTCTGAATGACATGGTTGGAACCTTCACAGAGCTGTAGACCATACAACTACGAGAAAAAAGTCAAAGGAACTTGAGTGCTATATCTTGTGAAGAGTCACGTGTAGTCCATTGACTTTACTTTGTTCCTATGGGTATGGTCTACAGCTCTGTTAAAGTTCAACAGTGTCATTCAGACCAACATAATACATAAGTAAATAATGAACAATAACCAGATAATGTAATGATATTAATCATTTACCTTTTATAAGGCCTATTTCAGAACCTACATACACGTGAAAACATGTATCACACGCCATCTTGCTCTAAATTTTTAAAATCACGACAGCATTCGTCACAATGGTTCAATGTGTCTGCCATCTTGTAATCCAATGGAACTGCTGTAACCACTTTGTCACTGTGGTTACTTCGCTAAGTACTGCAAAACAACCGGTGGCATCATAACCGTGATTTTTAATGAGGTTGGTTATTCAGGTTACATTTTCTAAACGCTTTGGTAATTACCAGTAATTACTGGTAACACCGGTTAGAATTTCCAAACGCACCTGATCATCTGCTTTCAATATTCTCTACATCAGCCATTCACAACCATTTTTTGACTGTGGTCCCTTTAAGCTTTTCTCAACTTTTATGGCTCCTTCCACATTTTTTTTTTGTTATTACATTGTTATGCTTTCTTTAAACATATTGAACCAATATATATTTCCCTAAAATATATATCTTTAATCAACACCTATCAAATATAAACATACATACTTTCTGACTTCTTAGTGGTTTATAGATGCAGTTGAAAAAAAGTAAAACTGCAGCTCTGAATGACATGGTTGGAACCTTCACAGAGCTGTAGACCATACAACTACGAGAAAAAAGTCAAAGGAACTTGAGTGCTATATCTTGTGAAGAGTCACGTGTAGTCCATTGACTTTACTTTGTTCCTATGGGTATGGTCTACAGCTCTGTTAAAGTTCAACAGTGTCATTCAGACCAACATAANAGGAGTACAAGTCAGTAAATATTCAGCATTTGTGATATTCCAGTAAATATTCGATATTTGGGTACTTATGGGTTAAGAGGACGCCAGTTCAGTGGGGACGCACTTTCTAACCTAACCTAACCTAACCTAACCTAACCTATTCTAATAAAATATTCGATATTTGGGTACTTATGGATTAAGAGGACTGAGTCGGACTCAGTCCTCTAAAAAAAATCCTTTAGGAATGTTTAAATTTAGTGTCCAGAGAATTTAGTGTCGTAGGACTTCAATTAGCGAAACGCCTTTTCTGACGTTTAGATACTATTCGTGTAATAATTTTAATTACGAGAAAAGAATTGAAAGTTTATTTAAATTACTATATATAGTTAATTAATGTATTGTCTTAATGGTGTTTAACTTTGCAACATATCTTGTTATTTTTTATGGTTAATGTCCAGATACGTGGACTGTCGTGGCGACATTTCCTGTTTTCCGACTCAGTGTTTGCCAGTTCAGTGGGGACGCACTTTCTAACCTAACCTAACCTAACCTAACCTATTCTAATAAATTAACATAATTATTACCAATTAATTACCGAAGGATACTTGTACCCGAACCCTGGATTATATGCGATTGTTCGAATAACATCGGGCGATCCCATCTTCGTCGTCGTCGACCTCCTGGACATAGCCGAGGAGGAGGAAGCGGCAGCGGTGACCGGCGGTCTTACCCCGGCTTCTCCTAAACAAGATCAGAAACGGGCCAGTCGTCGTAGGGTAGCGAGAAAAGGAGACTCTGTCGAAGGTGAGTGTATAATCTGTTTTGTTGGCTTTTTCCGTCGTCAGTTACAATGTGTTAGAGATAGGGAAATAGAAGCGCGCTCAGTATAGAGCGGCGGCGGCATAGAAAGCGTTGCCTAATTAGCGGCATTTTTGGGAGCCTATATCTCGCGAAGGGTCGCCCGTACGGGCATGGTTCCTTTGACTTTTTTGTTCCTATCGATATGCTCTACTGCTCTGTCAAAGTCCCAATTTGCTACATTTGTCCTAGAATTGTGCCA